CCCTGTCTCGAAAAAACAAAAACAAAAGCAAAACAACAACGACAACATGGTGTATAAACTGCGGCCAGTTTGCAAAACATGAATATATGTAATAATGAAAATATGTCACCCAAAAGCCTATGATCCAAAGATAAATTCTAGTAACATTTAGTGTGGTTAACTGCCAGCTTTGTATAAATAAATATTGACCTCATCCATTCCAAAAGCTGGGGCCTGAAGACTCTACCAACTGAGCTATCCCCAGCCAGGCTTATCAAATTTTAATTAAGTTCAATTTATTTATTTATTCATGCATTAATTTATTGCTTATGTTTATGGTTGCTCATGTGCCACGGCATGCACGTGGACTTCACCAACTGAGCTATATCCCCAGCAGGGCTTCTCAAAGTTGTATTCTATTCATTTATTTCTATTCATTATGTTTATTTACTGTGTATGTGCATGGTCATGCACGTGGAGGTCAGAGGGCAACTTGCCGGAGTCAGTTCTTCCCTCCCACTGTGTGGATCTGGGGGATCCTTTTTCTTCCTATGAAAGTTTTGTTAAAAGTCTGCTCATACAACACCACATGAGCTTCATTCGGTCTTTTTTTTGTGGTTTTTGGTGTGTGTGTGTTTTTTTTTTTCCTGGCAGTGTCTTACATAGTCTAGGCTGGCCTCAAACTCACCATGTGATCGACAGCGATCTTGAATTTCTAGTGTCCTGCCTCCACCTCCTGAATGCTAGGATGAAAGTCAGCTACCACCACACCCAGTTTTTGTATTGCCGGGGTGGAATCCAGGCTTCCGGCATGCTAGGCACGTTCCCTCCTAACACGTGGTCTTTTAGGACTGTTAGTCTATCATAGGAATGAACACATTCCTTGGTAGCTTGGTCATCTTCTGAGTGGGCATTTTTAGCCACCATAAACAACACCGAAAAGAACCTTGCAACGATACATGTAATAATTGCACGGATTATTTTTTTTTAATACTTTTTGGCAGAAATGACTGGTTGTCAAATTATTCACTGGCTCAATGGATGTAAACACTTCAAAGACTCTATACATAATGCCAAGTAGCACCTTACCATGTCTGCCTCCCTGAACAACTGAGTAGTTGTAAGGACTTGCTCTCCCCTTACGTCTTGTAAGAATTACTATTAGTAATTATACCTTGTGCACATCTCACTGTTACTACCATGTCAACTTCCTATAATTAAAACAAAAATTCAGGGCTGAGGTCTAGCTCAGCGGCAGAGAGCTTGCCTGGCATGTGCAAGGCTCCAGGTTTCATCCCCAGCACCACAAATAAGCAAAGCAACACTCCCCCAAACCTTTCTGACTATATGTAGGCTGAAGTTTCCTATTTATGGAAACGACTTGCAGTAGCAGTGAGAGTAATTTGGATTCCAGTGATTTCTTTGTGCGCCTCCATGTGCTGGGCACCATGCCAGGTGCTTTTATTGTTTATTACTGCTGCAGCCACACCTTCAGAATGTAGGTGTTCCCGTGTCCCATGAGGCTGTGATATGCTGAGGACAGAGTGCTGGTCAGTTTGCATGGCTAAGATGGGTACCAGGTCATTTGACTTGGAACCTAGCATATTTAACCCTACCTCAAAGTGCTTATGTGGATCTGATATATATATATACACACACACACATATGTATGTACATATATATTATGTGTATTATGTATACACATGATATATGTATATAGGATATACACACATACATGTGTCTGTATATACCACATGTGAATATATATATACATACATATATATATATATATATATATGTCATAAGAGATATTCTAACATTCACAGCTTACCAGTTTTATTTGAGACAGGGTTTCATGTAGTGTAGACTGGCTCTAAGCTCACTATGTAGTCAAGGATGATCTTAAATTTCAGATCCTGCTGCCTCCTCCCCCTGAGTGCTGGTGATATAGGTGTACACCATCATGCCCTGTTCTATTTAGTGTTGGAGATCAAACCCACAGCTTGGTGCTTGCCTAGCAACTGAACTATATGACCAACCAGGCCTACCCAAGTTTTACTACATTTATTTAGTTATTTAGCTATTTTTACTTTATCTTCCGTGCATGAATGTTTTCCTTGCACACACTTATGTACACCACATGCATGCCACTTGGATCCTGTGGAACTGGTATTACGGATGGCTGAGAGTTACCATGTGGGCCCTGGGAATTGAATCCAGGTCCTCTGCAAGAGCAGCAAGTACTCTAACCACTGAGTCCTCTCTCCAGTCCCCACATTTACTTATTTTAGTCTGTATAAGTGTGTAAGAGTGTCCATATTGGCCTGGGCATGGTGGGGCACACCTTTGATCCCAGCACTAGGGAGGCAGAGGCAGGTGGATCTCTATGACACAGTTTCAAGGCTAGCCTGGTCTACATAGTGAATTCCAGGGCAGTCAGGGCTACATAGAGAGACCCTGTTTCAACAAAACGAAACCACAACAAAGTGAGTGGACATGTCATGCCGTGAACGTGAAGTCAGAGGGCAGCTTGCGGTTCTCTCTTCCCCCTGTGTGGGTACCTGCTGAGTTATCTTACCCACCCTCACTAAAGTCTTAACATTCCTGGGTAGAATAAGCCACACTGACCTACAAAGCTCAGCTCTCTGAAATTCCAGTCTATCTGAAGAACTCCAGAGCCCCTGCCTCTGGTCTGATGTGATAGTCTGTCCTTTATCGGAAGATAAAGCCAGCAGAGGGAGGGATGGAACCTAACCTATTTGCCTTCTTGGCCAGCCAGCTGCCATCATTTCTTTTGAAGGCTTGACTGAGAGGAGCAGAGGGGCAAGACTTGGAGGGGTGATCTCTCTTGGAGGGGAGAGTCTTCAGTTAGGATTCAGACTGTACCCATAACCCACCTGTGTGAGCACTGTGAGCCTGCTCTGACAGCTTGAGGCTTTTTACCTTTTTTTTTTTTTTTTTTTTTTTTTTTTGCCTGTTTTATTCTGTTTGTTTTTGAGACAGGGTATCACTATGTAGCCTTGGCTGTCCTGGAATCTCTATGTAGACCAGTCTGGCCTCGAACTCCTGGAGATCCACCAGCCTCTGCCTCTGCCTTAAGTGCTGGCATCAAAACTGTGTGCCAGCACGGGCTTTTTACTTCTATTCTTGGTCTCTGTGTGTTACATGTGAACACTGGCTCGTGGAGCTACATATATGAGTGTTTTGTCTGCATGTATGTATATGTACCATATGTGTGCCTGGTGCTCAAAGAAGCCAGAGGAGGACGTCAGATCCCTGCAACTGGAGCTACTGATGGTTGTGAACTGTCGTGTGGGTGCTGGGAATCAAACCCTGATCCTTAACCCCTGAGCCATCTCTCCAGCCCCAGGCAGCAATTTCACGAGTCTCAAAACAAAAACAAACAACAACAAATAAAAACTGAACTGTTTACTAACCTGTAAGCTCCAAGCTCACAGGACAGAGAGAAGGGTCTGAGCTGTTAACTTTCCCATTATCCCCCACTGCCTAAGCGTGGAGCACTTCGCTCAGCAGGGTCTCGGAGCACATCCTGGGCCACACCGGGCTTGTTGAGGGCATGGTGGGGTGGACCTGGCTGTTAGTGTTGGGTTTGGCTGGCTGTGCCTAACTTCTACCTATTGTGTTAGTCTCCGCGTTTCGTTTCCTGTGTTAGCTTTGGCGTATTTATGATTAGCCTCTTGGGGAAGCTTTCAATGGAGGTCGGTCAGGAAAATTCTGTTACTCTTCTCAGAAAGCAGTGATCTTTTGGGATAGTTAAACTCTTCATCTATCTATCTATCTATCTATCTATCTATCTATCTATCTATCTATCATCTATCTATCTATCTATCATCTATCTATCCATCTATCATGTATCTATCTATCATGTATCTATCCATCCATCTATCTATCTATCTATCTATCTATCTATCATCTATCTATCATCTATCTATCTATCTATCTATCTATCTATCTATCTATCTATCCATCTATCTATCATCTAGCGATCATGTATCTATTGAGAGAGACTCTCTATGTAGCCCCGGCTGTCCTGGAACTCCCTATGTAGATCAGCTGTCCTCTGATTCAAAGAGATCCTCCTGCTTTGCCTGCGGAGTCCTGGGACTGCTGGGATTAAAGGAATGCTACGCCACGCCTGTCGGTTTAGGTTCAACTCTTACAGAGTGCTTGCCTATTACCGAAGAGCCATTTCAATGGCCGGGAAGCCTGTCCCGGGAGTGAGCCAACAGCAGCCGGAAACACTCAGAAAGCCCGGCTTGGAAGCCAGGCTCTCTGATGGTGCTCACCTGCAAGCCGCAGCTGAGGACCTCTGCAGCCTTCAAGGAACGGAACATCCTCTTTGGGTAGCACAAAGGGCCATGTTTGGAAATGACGGAGCAGGAAAGGGTAGGGAGAATAACCACAGAGGACCAGAGCTGAGGTGGCGTTGGGACTGCAGGGTGGACAAAAAGGGAGCAAAATGGAGCAAAATGGGAAGCTCAGAATAGAAGATATAAAGGAAAGTGCCAACTAGTGAAAATCCTGCGAAAGAACGCGCAGGGGGGTGGGGTGGGGGGACTGGGGAATGGTTTAGAAAAATAGCAATTAGCACAGCTAAAAATAAAGACCAATTTCGAGACAAAGCCAGATCCAAAGGAGAAAAATAAAACTCGCCAGAAAGACAATTCCTTGCAAACCAAAATGCTCAAGAAAATGGGGCTAATGACACCCCCGTCTTGGGCTGTTTTGTAGAAGAAATGAGAAACTAGATGAGCGTGAAGCGCGGCGCTGAGCAGGTGACAGGCACCAGGAGAGGAGCGATGAGCCCGGCTCCGGGACCTACGGGATTCTGCTAGTTGAGCGGAAAGGTCCTCCTGAGACTGCACCCAAGTGTCGTCCAAGTTAAAAATGTGCCGGCGCGCTCCGATCTGCGCGCTGGAACCGCAGAGGCTCAGGCAGTGTTCTCTGAGGTCTGTCGGTTCCAGAGCCTCGAAGCCGGGACACAAGGCGTGGCGTGGGTTGGAGTGGGCACCCACACTTGTCTCCTGGTTTTGGCAACGCCTCCCGGGTATCCGCCGCGTGAGCAGGCGGTGCACCCACAGAGTCGGAGTCGGGTAGACCCGGGGGCGATCTGGAAGGTGACTACGGCCTGGCAGGGACAAGGAACGCTGTGCGTCTCCCAGGCCGCGAGGGGAGGGACCGGGATGCGCGCGGGAGCTGAGGGTCACCCGAGGCCACTTCACTCTACCCTGCGCGGGTAGCTGGAGGCTGGACCCAATGCCCACGGGTACGGGTGATCAGGGAGAGGGGAGCGCCGCGGAAAGAAGGCGGCGGGCGGGGCCTGGAGGGGCGGCGTCGCGCGGGCTCCACCTCCTCTTTGCCCTCCTCGGGTTCTGCCGCCGTGCCGCCCGGCTGCTCCGTCCTCGGGCGCCCGCGGCGATGTTCACCCGCGCCGTGAACCGACTGAGCAGGAAGCGGCCGCCGTCTGGTAAGTGACTGTGGGCGCTGGGGCGCGGGAAGGGCTGGGTCGTGGGGGTCCCCTGGCGCGGCTCGCGGTGCCGCCCGGACAGCAGCTGCGCTCCTCCCGGCTCGCTCTGTCCCAGCCGCGGCGGGAGCGCAGAGCCGGGGAGCCGCCCCGGGAGGAAGTTAAGCTTGAAGCTAGAGCCACAGCAGCTTTTTTTTCGAGAGAAGGTCTGAGAGCCACGGGAGACAGAGAACAGCCCCCTACTCTGAGGCAGCGTGGGAGCCAGGCTCCCCTCTTATGTGCAGCCTCCGCCACCGGCCGAGTGGCAAGGATGCTCCACCGGACCTCTGCATCCCCGGAGCGGCCGGCCCCGCGGCGCCAAAAAGTGGAGTCCCAAGGTGGCTGCACACCAGGGCGGGGGAGTCACTTTGTCTTTTCCCCTGGACCAGCCCGACCCACAGTTTGGGGCAACTTGGCAAGACAAAGAACCCACAGTGCAGAAATGGTGATTCGAATCCTGTCATCTTTTTTTTTGTTCATAATAACACCTAACATTCTTTGGTGGCTTATGTTGTGGCCAGGAGCTGTGTTGACATCTGTGCTTTTCTCTTGTCTTCACCCGTAGACTAGCCGCGCTGGAGGGGTGGGGTTCTGAAGCCAGGGTCTTGGGTGACCTGCTCTACTCCTAGTTGGTGGACCTTTCAAACCTACGTTTGTGTGCTTGCTAGACTCTGGTTTGGAGTTCACCGGCTTGCTTTCCTGTCGCCCAGAGATTCACTCTGTGTCAGCCGGTTTCCTCTTTTCACCTAAACATCAACTGTGGTTAAGCGACTGCAATCAGACAGATTGAATCCCAGTGCCACCACTCACCAGCTGTGCAACTTCTTTGTAAGGGGTAGGGATGTGCAAAGTGTAGCTTTAAGTGCTTAATTGGAGCCTGCCCTCCCTCCACCCATCAACTCATGCAAATCATTTCATTAAATATTTAAGGCGACCCTACTAAAGTCAGATTTCGTGCAGTTATTCGTAAAGAGTTTGCACCGTTGCCTAATATGAATTAAAGTGCTCCATTAGTGTCGTCTGTGTGGCCAGATTCCCTTGTGAGTGTGGATGGCTGACGCAGGCAGGCTACGGAGAGGTGGTCAGATTCTAGGCACTGGAGTTAAACTTCCGATTCCAACCTTGACTCTGTCATTCGGCGACACTGAATAATGAATGTCCTTGGACCTTTCTGTGCCACAGAGCTGTGCTGGAGCTGGCTCAGTGTGGCTTGCAAGAGCCAATTGCTAAATACTCAGGGCATCAGGGAACGGGTTGCGCAGTCATAGGTGGGTTGAAATTAGCTGTGGTGGGACATATCAACATACGACAGACATCAGGGCTTGTGAACAGTGGATTTCAGATTTCTGAAAGCTGTAGACTTTACACACTTAATTTTTAAAAATTTTAAATTACATTTATCGTGTGTGTGTGTGTGTGTGTCTGTGTGTGTGTCTGTGTCTGTGTGTGTGTCTGTGTGTGTGTCTCTGTGTGTGTGTGTCTGTGTGTGTGTCTGTGTGTGTGTGTGTGTGTGTGTGTGTGTCTATCTGTCTACTGTCTGTCGTCTATCTGTTTTCCTGTTTGCCTGCCTCTCTGCCCGTGTACATGCCACAGCTTGCATGTGGAGGTCAGAAGACAATTGGAAATCAGTTCTCTCCTTCTACCGTACAGGTCCCAGTAATCAAACTCAGGCTCTCAGGCTTGGATACAAACCTCTTTACCCACTGAGCCATCTTGCTGGCCCTTAACTACAGACTTTAATTCTGATAAATATGTGTTCAAGTTACTAATAGCAGGGCCAGCAGTTAAACATGAGAAGCTCCAAAATGCAGTGCTGGATACGTGATAAAGGCGTAGGAGTTACGAGCTTCCTTTTCTTTCTCTCCCTTGTTATACAGAGCAGTTGTGAATAGCCCTGCATAGGTTGCTTGTTGCTTTGAATTATATTTGGCCTGAATAGAATAGAAATAGAGCCACTGAATCATGACAGATGAATGGATTTTGGATGCTTTTGCATATGGCCACGTTGCATTCCCAAGCTGAATGGCAGTTTCAGAAACGTTAGTCGCATGTACCTGTTCCAGGGCAACAGACTTGAACACTGATGACGTTCTCCCACACTGCCGATAGAAAGGCCAGAAGTTAAACAGCAGGGCTTGGTGTTGGACGTCTGGAATGTAAGAGCTCAGGTTCCTTGAAATCTGTGGGTATAAGGTCTGCCACTCTTGTGAAAGGATATGTGCCCCTGCCAGTCTGGTCACTGACATCACCACTGAATAGCAGGAAAAGAAGGCGTCAAGTGAGAGAGGGAGGGTGGGAGGCCGGCAAGCCAGCCACAGGATGCTGAAGGATTTGAGGGAGGGTAGTTTTGATTGTTTTTTTCTAGTGGTGCTAGGGGCACACCCGGGGCCTGGCGCATGTAGGCAAGTGGTCTGCCACAGAGTGACAATCCCACCTGATCTTTGCTTTGAAAGAGTTTTTTCCAAAATGTCCAACTCAGGCCCCACCCAAGCTGGAGGTACCTCTGCAAGAGCCTGGACTTGGAGCTGACAGCAAGACTGTCTCCTCCAGAGCATTTTATGTGTGGCCGAAGAGCTAAATCTTATCAAAGATGGTATCCAGAAGCTGAGAGCTGTAGGCTCCACCCATTTCTAAGGTTTATAGTTTGAGGCCCCTTTGTCTCATTTCTAAGGTCTCTCAAAATATGTTTTGCCTACCAGGTTGGGGAAGTGGGGGCTTGATAAAAGTCAGACCCCGGTTCAATCTTAGGGACCCAGGGGAGCAAGAAGAGTTAACTGCATTTTTAGCAAGTACCCCAGTGGTTTTTTTTTTCTGAAATGTGAGGACTCCTCAGAGGGTCCTGTCCCCTGTCCACAACCTGCACTGTTAATAACTGGCAAGATCCAGCTACATGGCCTATCAGAGAAGTTCTCTTTACATTATCCCATTAAACCCTGGGAACATTGCAGAGTTATTGCTGGGCTTACGTTTTTATTTGAAGGTGACAATCTGCACAGAAATTTAACATATTTGTTTTTAACAACTTGACAGTGGAGCGTGTTGGTGGTTGGGCAAACTGACTTGTAGAGACTCATGGGCTGGGCCTTGGGGCTGCGGGAGAGCAAGGCTAGCCTGCAAGATAAGATGGCCTTTTTGTCTAGATGACATCAGCTCAGCCTGCTTGGGTCCCCCCAAGAGCAGCCCACAGACAAGATGGAGGCGGGCAGGAGGTGCAATGTGACAATATTTTGTTTGTCTTCTTTCCTCAGAGCAGAGGACTTAGATGCCCAGGCAGGGTCTGGATTGGCTATTTCCTAGAGCTTTCGTGGGGAACCAGACACTTCCCTCCTCGAGCTGAGTGATCCCCCTGGCCCCCGCATGCTGGGTTCTAAGAACGTGTTGTTTATACTGTACTAAATATATTCTGGTCGCTTCTGCTTCCCCCAGATAGCTAGTTGTCCACTGCAGCAGCCTGGGGGTGGCCGCCCTCGGAGAAGAGGGGCCTCAGGCAGGCAATAACAGCAGCCCCTTGATAAGGGCCGTCAGGAGGCATCCACTACGGGAAACAGTCCCTGCAGACTTCCAGGGACAAATTTCTCTTTGCGTCTGGTTCCCATCTCTCCAGGGCCATGCATGCCTAGTGCCCAGGTTTGCCTTGCGGCCTTCACCTGGTCTGGTCCTTTTCACCCCCATCCTTCTGCCCCTCACTCTATCCGTAGAGGTATTGGGCATTCCTACCTCCTTAAGGGTGCCCTTCCTCCAAGCCTGACTGGTACTCGGCACCTGACAGTAGCCTGTTTCAGAAGAAGGGAAGTTGGGTCCCCAGGGGTGGGAACTACTTCAAGGCTGCTCCTCTGCAAAGAAGCAGACACCATAACCCGTCTCTGCCTCTAGGCCAGGGCTGCCTGCACACACGACCACTCAGTCGGCTTGTTAGCTATTTAGTGAGTAAGTATGGAGGTGATGACCTGTGCCCTGTCTTCTCCCCTCCCATCTGAGAGGTCCTGGTCTTATTTTCTCAATTCATAGTACATCGATGACTGAAAGTCAGAGTTTCCCTTTGTTGCGTCGTTACCTGACTTTCCTTCCCAGCTTCTTCGACCAGCCATTCTGGAACAGACTCGGACCTCCTCCATCCTGCTGTTTGCTTCTTTGTAGTAAGTTGCTCCATTCACCTCCGTGGGCCTTATTTCCTGGTTGGGTACATGCTCAGAGACTGTCGTCTGTTTTTAGTGGCTGTTTTCTTCTCTCAGTGCCTCTGACCCCTTGATCAGTGCCCAGCTTTTAGCTCATTCCCCTGAAAGTATTGATCATTAGAAACTAGAGTCAGGAGTGCTAGATGTGCTGTTAACCCCTGAGGAACACAGCACCTTTGTTCTTAAGAAATGTGTGGGCTGGAGCCGGGAGAGAGAGCACAGTTGATGAAACGCTGTTCATTCAACGTTAGGACCGCGGCTCGATCCCCAGGTCCCCGAGGACGGCTCATGCTTGGAATCCCAGCACTGGGAAAGTGGAGTCGTGTGGATCCCAGGAACTCACTGGCCAGTGAGCCTAGCCTATTTAGTTGTCCCTGGCCAGTGAGAGACGCTGTGTCAAAAGAGAAGGTGGACAGTGCCTGCGGGGGACACCCGTGTCTCTACCTGCTCGTGTGCACTTGTCCACCAGCACACATGTCCACCAGCACACACAGGAACACACACACAAAAAGCAATATGTGGGCTGGGGCTGGGGGTGTAGCTCAGTTAAGAGAGTGCTTGTTCAGCAGGCCCAGAGCTCTGAATTCAATCCCCAGCACAACATGGTGGATTCTAGCACCAGAGAGGTAGAGGTAGGAGGTTCAGAAATTCAAGACCATCCTTGGCTAAAGGCCAATCAGAGCTACACGATGTCCCCTTTCAACACACACACACACACACACACACACACACACACACACACACACACACACACGTATTCACACATACATACACATACACACAGACACA